CAACAACCTAATGATCAATTTGTTCAAGCATTACGTCAACTTCAAGTAATGCAAACGAATAATCTTGTCAAAAATTATGGTGTACAAAATAGTACAATGGATGATGTATTCTTAAAAATTACAAGAGATACTAAAGATGGAAGTGAAACTGGATCAGCAGCATATGATATAGAAAAAATTGGTTTGTATATAATAATAAATTTAAAACTAAATTGATTTCTATCATTAATACTCGTTTATTCATCTTAGATGATCAATGCCGTCATGTTTTTGATGATAGACAATTTTACACTGGTTGGCGTTATTATTTAAATCAATTATATGGCTTACTCATAAAAACATTACTTGTACGTTATCGTCGTTGGGGAATAACAACTGTTGTTCTTTTATTACCTATTGCATACAATCTTTTATCAAATATACTTTCTCGAACTCAAGGAACAAATGATACTTTTAAAATGCAACCAATTTCACTTAATCCACAAACAATTCTCTATAATGCAGATCCAAGTATAGAAAATTACTTTCTAGCAGCTATTGGTGCTCAATCAAATGGTTTAAAACTTGAAAAAAGATTAGAAAATATGTCTAGCATAGATAAATATATTTGGCGTAAGTTTTAATCATATTAAAAATAAATTCGTTGTCATTTAATATTTAATTATAGAAAAACGAATGGATCGTCCATATACTTATACAGATATTTATCTTGGTTTTCATATTCCTGCACCACAAGGAGATACATATAAAATTCAAACATTATCATCTAATTTAATATCCGGCTATGAAGTTTTTTCAGTTGCATCAGATCTATTTTATAAATATACATTAAATGATACAAGTGCATCAATTCAATCAACACTTATTTATAAAAAAACAGGAAATCTCACTATAGAACCAACACTTGGTAGTGTATTCAATCTATTGAGTATAGTTTCATGCTCTCTCAAAATTATACCGACATCACTTATATTAGATGTGTAAACTAGTTCATTTCAATAGAAAATATGAATCACTTTTGTTTTGGTTTTATATTTAGATTCGTTTTCTACTTGATATTCTTCTATACAACTATATATTTAGTCAGTGAACGAAAAGATAGCTTTTTGTTATTATTAAATATTAGTGGTTTACAGTAAGTTTATTTACGAATTAAAATAGTCTGTTTCATTCCTTGAATATTTTAGTCCAATACTTTATTGGCTTTTCACTTATATATTCGATATTATTACTTCTATTTTCTGGTTTTGTTATTTACTTGCTATGTATTGTTTATTTGATGTTGCT